AAGAAATTACTCTATAGGGTGTTCTACATAATTCCAATATATTTCATGTACAAAATATACTTTGTTAATTTCTCATGACAAAATTACACCACAACAATATATATATATATATATATATATATATATATATATATATATATATATATATATATATATATATATATATATATATATATATATATATATATATATATATATATTTATATATATATATATATATATATATATATATATATATATATATAAAGAAAATGAAAAATATGCTCGTTTAAATCGTTGCACCTATTTTTAGTTGATTTTACTTACTTTGTTTTTTTAAATAAATAATAACATTTATTTTGACTTTTACAAATTTGATACTTAATAATGGATATTCAACTTACACAGAACAATGTTTTTTAGCATGATATTTTGCTATGAAAGAAAAAGAAATAATCTCAGATGTTATATATTCTTCTTCAACCAATTCTGTATTAATTTTAGCTTCTAAAATTCCTGAGATTTTTACTAGAATTATAATCCAGCACAAAGGAAACCTGAAACACAATATTTTTAAAATTTATTTTTAGTGATTAAAATATTATTACACTAGGGCGACCATACTTACAGCAATTTTTCTGTATTGTAAAGCATTTTTAAAGTTTGTCCAGCAATTGGTATTGTGCAGCAAACGTACAGCAAAATGGCATAGGTATATATCAAAATGTCACTACTGTCCAGCAATGGTAATACTTAATTTACTGAAACGTAACAAATTTAAATATTATTTATCTTTAGTGAACTACATGAGCACTTCTATACTGCCGTTCTAGCAAGAAAGGTTTTATCTGCAAAATTAGCAGTTTTTTATGTGCATTTGTCTACATTTTATGTTTCTCGATACTGAAATGGAATGTCTTATTTGCAACATAGGTACTAAAATGTTAAAAAGTTACACAAAAAAAGGTTTAAAAGATAATAAATATATTTGCTAAAAATAGTTAAAAACTCGATTATTTCAAAACAACACATTTTCAGATAGGACCTCTCTGTCTAGGATGGCAGTATATGACTTCTTTGTTTTTGTATTTTTATAGTAGTATAGGAGTAGGGCTAAGAGTATCAGTCAAAGGTATTGATACTGGTATCATGTGAAATACTTTGTGGTACAGGCATCGATAGTGTTCGATATTATGTTAAAGATATCGATATTTATAAGTATCAAAGTATTGAACAAGTAAACGATTTTTTTTAAACGGCTGACAACCGCCATTCAACAGGATGGAGTGGGGAACTTAACTAAAAACAAGTGTGCATCCGTAAAGTATATTCTGTAGTTGACACCTTTTCTTTCTCTACTGGTACTCTACCTGGTACAAGTTATAGTGTCAATAACTGGCAATTTAACTTATTAAAAAAACCAAAAAAGGTTGACAGCTGTGTGCACGTAGTTTAGATTCAAAAAGGAAAAACTTGTATTTCGTGCAAAACTTTTTTATTAATCAATGCAAAGCGCTTTCGGCTTATTTGCCATCATCAGTGCTCATCTACAAAAATTGTGGATATAAACTTACAATTTAAAAAGATTTAAAAAAATTATAAAATCTGAATTAGAATTTTAAGTCAAAAGTTAAAATAGTATATATACAATTGTTTGAACAAATTAAAAATTACAAGAAACAGACAAAGTGACAAAAAAACCTGGTATTGGGAATAGTGAGTGTGGGATAAGCCCTTACAAATCAAATCTGATCTCCAAAAGCAAGTTAGCTTGTGTGGAATTAAGGAATCATGCCACCCTCACTATTCACAAAATTGAAAAAAGGTTAACAAATTAGTTAAAATTTAAAGAAATTTACAATTAGAGGTTGACTGTGGAATATATATTGAAAATTTGAATCTATAATGCAATATTTGATATGAAGAAAGTAAAACGCAGAAGGCCAAAGTAAAAAAAAAAAACTGAAGGTTTTTTTTATATATGTTTTATATACATTATAATTATATAAAACATATATATATATATATATATATATATATATATATATATATATATATATATATATATATATATATATATATATATATAAAATGTATATAAAACATATATAAAAAAAACCTTCAGTTTTTTTTTACTTTGGCCTTCTGCGTTTTACTTTCTTCATATCAAATATTGCATTATAGATTCAAATTTTCAATATATATTCCACAGTCAACCTCTAATTGTAAATTTCTTTAAATTTTAACTAATTTGTTAACCTTTTTTCAATTTTGTGAATAGTGAGGGTGGCATGATTCCTTAATTCCACACAAGCTAACTTGCTTTTGGAGATCAGATTTGATTTGTAAGGGCTTATCCCACACTCACTATTCCCAATACCAGGTTTTTTTGTCACTTTGTCTGTTTCTTGTAATTTTTAATTTGTTCAAACAATTGTATATATACTATTTTAACTTTTGACTTAAAATTCTAATTCAGATTTTATAATTTTTTTAAATCTTTTTAAATTGTAAGTTTATATCCACAATTTTTGTAGATGAGCACTGATGATGGCAAATAAGCCGAAAGCGCTTTGCATTGATTAATAAAAAAGTTTTGCACGAAATACAAGTTTTTCCTTTTTGAATTTAACTTATAATTAAATAACAAAAAAAAAAACAGTGGTAAGGCTTAATCATATTACCAAGTTTCACCACATGCGAAAACTAAAATATTTGAACAAACCTTATTATTCCTGACCACACACATAGCGATACGATACTTGCTTCTAAGTATGGATATGGCGATAGTATTGGTAATTCAGTATCAGTGCCTAAATATGGATACTTTCATTGTTTAATATCGATACTTCTATAGTATTGAGACATCAATAAGATCCCTATTATCGTGTAAAATATAGGCAGTCATTTAATATTGCAATCTAAAAGAACAGACAATAAATTAGAACATATGTTTCTATTTTATTGAAAAGAAGAAAAGAACTTACCAAACTTATTCAAAGGTATAGTTTACAATTTATTTAAAATCTCAAATAAATATAAGAAAATGTGACAAGTGACATTTTTTTTATGTTTTGTTGGTTATAACAAACGAATGGCTACGTTCGAAAACAAGATTATGTCCATAGTACTTCTCGTGGAAACTTTTTTAGCAAGTTACTTAATTACGTTGCGTTATCATAACGGACAGGTTAAATACGTAAGTAACAAATAGATGTTTCACGAGGTTTTGATTTCCCTCAACAACTTCTCATTAACGTTACAATTACGTTGTATGGGTATGTTATTATGTTCCCTTAAAACAACATCGCCGAAAGCCTTGGCAACGTTATGTGCTAGCTGGGGTAGTACACATGCAAGTCAGAGCAGATGATAAGGGCGTATTGTATTTTATTTAAAACCGATATTGCTTCTGCTGAATTTACCAAAATAGATTTTAATCGAAGTTCACGTAGAGCAAAATTCCCTAACGAAGTTCCTTTAGTTCGGAAAACTTCAAAGCCAATAAGTACCAAAAAATTCCAACATTTGCAGAAGTGTTTTTCATCCATTTTATAATAATATAGCGTACCTATATAATATTAAAGATGAATAAACTTTCTTTGTCGCGTGAATTACATTTACTTTTTTCATGTTTGTGAAACATTTTTACTTTTTTTTTTCTGTATTTCTTGCTTAATAAATATGAAAAACAATACTGCTTTTTTAATTCAAAACAATTAATGTCCATTGGGTACCTAATTATTTTAGAATAATACATAAAATTGTGTGACATACAAATTATCTTATTTTACTTGGAGGTAAGTCATGTTAAGTCACCAAAGTATGTTTTAAGTGACACACCACATCAACTTTACTAGTGGTAAATTATGTTAAGTCACCAAAAACTAATTAATAAATGAACTTGATGTTGCTGACCTCCACGCTATCTCGGAACCCTAGGAAGACGGACAGGGCAACCTATGCCCACCTTCTCCAAGAAGCTCTGAGAGAGATGGAAGCCGAAACACCAAACAATAACAATTCTTTGAAGAAGTATTCGAATCCTATTAAAAAAAAAATTCTATAAGAAATCCTGTCCTGAGGCTGGTCCAACATGGTCAGACGACTACCGCATGGTGGTGTCACGAGTTGGTTCACCTCAAACTTATGGTGTCAACACACTTCCCTGACTCGGTCATCACAGACGTGGCCGATTAAGCAGAGGAAGAATACAACCCATCTCTCTATGATTAGCAAACTGCCAAACACATTATAGACGATAAAAAAATTAGATGGGCAATATCCAGCTTCTCTCCATTTAAATCGCCAGGACCTGACGGAATCTATCCAGCCCTATTTCAGTGGGGTCCGGAAGAACTCACACCACGCCTGGTGGGTATATTCAGATCCTCGTTGGCTCTGAGGTATATCCCCAAAAAATGGAGACAGGTAAAAGTGGTATTCATACCCAAACCTGGAAGGATGGATTACACTGTCCAAAAACATATAGACAGAATCTACGCCTAGTCATAGGCATTCTGACTGGTCATTGCCAAGTACGGAAGCATCTCCAAAGCAAGGGGCTGTCAGAATTCGCACTCTGCAGAGGGTGCGAACAAAAAGATGAGACCCTCGAGCATATCCTTTACGATTGCTTAACGCTCTCAATTATTAGAAGATTTGTGTTCGGCGAGTATCGGCTAACACCGGCCGATATAAGAGAAGCACTTCTTGACGACGTTGTCAACTATATTAAATCTGTAGGCTGGCTCATGAGCTAAGAGGTGCCTATCATCTTGACAGGATGCACAATGGGCCTAGTGAGGCCTAAGTGCCCTGGGTATACCCACCCTCCACACGTTACAGATACAGAGATACAGAACAGTCAACTCTTTCTTTATTTTTAAAAGATAAAAACATTTTGCGTACACTGAGCTTTGCCAAGTACTTCCAGATTACAATGTATATTATTGAAAAAAATAATTTGTAGGTGAATTACGAAATCTAAACCAAAGGTAAAATAAAACTCCAAATATATTGAAAAAACAATAATTATACTCTTATTTACAATCATAGTCAGTAAGATATACTTAAATATATTCAGAAATAAACACTTTCTTTAAATCGGGTATACTGTGCATACAATTATCACCACAATTGTTTTTACAACTTTTGTCGAAACAGCCACTAGAATCTTCTATATAGACAGTAGTCGTATTGGGCAGGTACTCTTCAGACTTGACACGTTGTCTGTACACGTGAAATTGGGGGTAGTCGGACTCTTTTTCTTTGCAGCTACTTCTGTAGAATTTGTCGTTGTTAAAGATTTTGCGACGATCTTCCAGAGTCATATATGAGCTGGACCTTTGAAGGGTAAATTGTTTACTGTTGTTATTTTTCAGGTTTTCTTCGACTTCGATGAAAGCTTGAAAATTTTCTAGTGATCTGAAAATTACAATATATAAAATTTTTGTTGAATTTAGAAAACTGATAAGATTTAATCATTTAATTGTCGTGCATGAATTGGAATTAATTGAATAAAAATCAGGTTTGTAACGTCTTAATTCTGGTTTCCGTGCATAAGGTAGCTGGCTACCCGACGAGTCACTAAGTGCTCCTGCAGACGAGGCCAAAAGGAGAAGAAGAGACGCGGTTCGTAGTGCGAAAACTAGACAATTTGGTTATGAGGAGATACTGATTTTTTTTAATTTACTTGTATACAGAGTGTTGTTTAAAAATAAAATCTTTACAAAGAATCCCAAATTTTCTTGTAGCCAACCCTACTACAGGTTATTTTAATGCGAAAAATTTGCAACTAGTAAACGGACTGAAATATTTTCAAAGTGACTTAAAACAAAAACCAACAAACCTTTTAGAATTCGATCTTCTTATCCTAAAATTTTTCAGATCTTCTCCTGAACTTTCCTTTTCACTGACAGGTTTAACAGAAGTAATAACTGGTCTATTGTTAACATTATTGATTATGTAATAACCTTGGTCATCCTCAATTTCATCGTTTGTCTCTGTGATGGTTTTTTGGTGATTGTTAGAATGAAAGAAATCGAAATCGCAGTTAGCCTCGGTGGTGATACTGTAGCAACTTTTCGAGCTCATAGAGTCGAAATTTTCATTGATGTCAGTATTGTATTCGTCGTCCGAGCTGTACATTTCAATTGGCGATGGGTCTTGGACTTTTATTTGAGGAATAATGGGTTCTTGAGTCAATGGTGGAGACGGTTTCGAGTCCGGCTTCTTTGTGTGAGCGTTTATGTGAACAATTTTATCTGAAACAAGTAATATATTAGTTATTGAAGCTATGGGCTAGCAACGCAAGGCTAATATACAGGTACGGAAATTTAAACGACCGTCTAAGCCATCTTAGAGACGAGCGTAAATGGGAGTGAGGTGGAAGTAGTACGTATCGTACGCCAGGCGCTCCGTCCTGCTCAGCGGTGTTTATTTCTTACATCTGATATTTCAATTTGTGTTCAAACAAGTTTCAAATAAAAATTATGTGGCCTTGAAGAAGGCATATTTTAAATTTACACTTATATTTTTATCTGGCAAATAAAAACATATTTAAGTGGAGATGGCGTTACTATTTTTTACTCGTAGAGAATTATGCAGAATTTAAATAAAATAATTGAAGTCTATTAAAAATGTTTGACAATGTCAATAACAAAGACTTTACGAACTACTCTGTATATTTAAGAATAATTGTAAAATATGGTCGTACAACTTTTGTATTCAAAATTTCTCTCGATCAATTACGCACTGATACATAAATTATAGGCTAACATTTTGGATATGTACATTCATGCTAAAATAATATACAGGGTGTTGCATTTGAAACAAATTAAGTAAATTAAACTTAAAATGAGCCATACCCAGACAACAAGTGAGCCCGAAGGAGTGAAAAGTGTTCTCGAAAGTCATTAGCTAAAAAGAGATGGCACACGTTAATAGATCCATACAACGTAGTGAAACAAACATAAAATCCCTTAAATCAACTTAATTTGCGCGACGCACTTAGTGACGTCACAAAGTAAGGCGGGGCATAAGAACTTTCCAGTCATTGATATAAAATAAAGAGGAGATGCTATGACGATACTAAAAGTGTCGGCATAGTTTTACGTCATATGTCAAATTCGATCAAGTGAAGTTAGTCAGTTTTAGTGAGAATAAATACCATTTTTTTAATACTTTCACTGCTGTCTACTCCAATCGGAGTGTTGGTGTTTACTACGTTTAATGCTAATAACTTTCTTTTTAATAAAATACGTTTGCAATAATCTATTTCAGTAATTACGCCGATCTGAGTCGGTTGACAACGGTCACCGATGTTTTACAAAAATTGGTCATCAATCCAATCGGAGTCGTTTTTGTTTTTCTTGTTATATCAATTTTTTTGTGTTAATAAAAAACATATATTACTAAAGAAAGTGTGTTCTAACGTACAGTTCATCAAATTTCTAGAGGTGTTCGACGCCCAGACAGAGAACGCGCTACGTGTGACTAAGATAGCTATTGTACAGTCTGCTAAACAAGTTATTTTAAATAGTTTTTAATATTTTTAGGTAATTAAATTTTAAAAGTGTGGAATAGTTTAGGGATTAAATTGGTCTGATTGGACTTTCTTAGAACGTTTTTAAAAGCAGCTAAAGATAGTATGTAGAATTGAAAATAATTATTATGCCATAAAAGGTGTTTTGGAATTCCTTCAACCTTTTGAAATTGAGTCAGAAAATATAAATTTTATAGGATAGCGGAAAATACCTATAATTTTTTTGTAGGCCTTTGTAAATCGTGGAAATAGTTTATATTTTATTTCTACCTTATTAAGGAAAATGGTACCTATTATTAATAACGGTTGTTTCTGAAACATTACTAAAATTTTCGAAATTTTGTTTTTCTACAAAATAATAAACTATACTATTTAGAAAAAAAATTATTTCTCTTATAATTTTATAAAAAATAACAGGGGAATATTTACATTTCTTGATCTATTAAACAAAACGATAAATTATCTCGACGAATGACACCATGTTCTAGTACGGAAGCTAGCTTTACCTTTTTGTTGGTGGTTTCATGGGTTTCATATCAATTTTTTGTAATTGTAGTTTACACGTACATATACCTCTTAACACTGGTTTGCTTTATTAAAAAAGTGTGTTGTTGTGATTTACGTCGAAATAAGTCAAAAACAACTTGAAACCCCATATAAAATCAAAAAGGAGAAACGGAAAAAAATTGAGCCTGTAAATGAACACAACTCAGAAACAAAAATAGCTATCTAATAATAAAAAAATAAAATTTGATTCTTGTGCAGCTTCATCTATATCATTAACTGTTTTTGGTTTTTTAATGGTTTTTCTTGGTGATGAAAATTCCGATATCTCACGGTTATCGATTCTTTTTTTCTCTCCAGAAATGCGGACGACAGTGTTTTTAGATACTCCTGTGGCTGCAGCAACACGATCATTTACATTTTTAAATGGTATTGAAGGTGAATTAAAGTTTCCTTCTCTTCTCATAAACTCTATAACATTGGCTATTATTTCGCGAGATTGACTGTTAATCACGCGGCCTCTTAATTTGCTATTAAACTCCATACTTAGGTTCTATTAAACTGTAATGAGCAAAAAACACAAACGAAAATAAAAGAAATGTTTTAGCGAAATTTACATCTGACATTTACGTCTGAATGAAATAGTGAAATACTTGATGCGCAGAGTGTACTTTCATTGCGTAAATCCGTCGGGATGCCTGTCAGTAGTGCTTTCTCTGTCTAGCCGTCGAAAGCCTCTAGAAATTTGATGAACTGTAACTTCATAATTATATGCAAAAAACTTAGTTTGGCTGCTCGCGACGGCGCACTAGTCACAAAGCGGCAGCGAAAGTGTTAAAATAGCATGACTAAAATGTTATAAAAACATTTTCATTCAGTCAATCTTCAAATATAAAATTATTAACGTCAAATTAATCAAAATACGACTCAAAGTACGTTCACTTGTCATATCGCAAAATAGTGTTTATGTCCTCTCTACATTATTTTATCTTAATGTTTCCAATCAAGCTGTCAAACTCTAAAATTCACCAGAAGACAATTTTAAAAACCGTGTTTAAATAAAACTGCGAATTTAATAACAGGGACTACTATTGCTTTTTTAAATTCATCTTGCCAAATTCCTGTTTTAAATACAACAATAATCATTAAATTTCAATTATTAATAAATAATTGAAATATTATCATTAAACGTAGCAACGTCCATGGATGGGGTCCCCAAGGGGGAAAAATCTTTATTATTCATTTTACGACCAAAAGTCATTCTTTATAAAAAGTTCTGCTTGTTAATGTACAGGGTGTTCATAAATTAGGAAAATATGAAAATGCTTCAAGAGGGAAGTACCATTATTTATTATTTTTAACAAAAATTTTATAAAACAAAGTTGTTTATAAATTAGCATAGAGACTAAATACAAATTTGTAATGCTGACATAACATGAACGTGTATACAAAATCGTGTATGCAAATTATTACATGAAAGTAATAATTATTAATATTCTATTTTAAAATATTGGAATTTTTATTTAAAAATTTGTATTTAGTCTCTATGCTAGTTTATAAACAACTTTGTTTTATAAAATTTTTGTTAAAAATAATAAATAATGGTACTTCCCTCTTGAAGCATTTTCATATTTTCCTAATTTATCAACACCCTGTACATTTAATCTAAAATTTTTATAAGGCAACTCCATTTTCTCAACAAGCAGAACTTTTTATACAGAATGACTTTCGGTCGTAAAATGAATAATAAAGATGTTTTCCCCCTTGGGGACCCCATCCATGGACACACTGTATATTGTTTATGAGATGAATTAATAAAGGAGAGATTTCTTTCGAAATGCTTTTTATAGTTCCACTTTTAATAGTATCTATGCCTGGGGTCTTACCACTTTTTAAGTTATTTATGACACTAATGACTTCCTTGTCTGTTGGTGAAAGAAAGAATGAATGTAATTTATTTTCTGTTACAGGTTTATTCGTGGGTGGTTCTTTATTACATTCGGCTAATTTGGTACATACAAAAATTGAACTTACCCAATTCTTTAGCTTGCAAATCGTTTAAACTATCCTCGCTGCGACTCAGTCTCATCTTATTCAACCTTATCAGATTTCTAGAATTCTTCACAGCCTGGCTATTAGCCCCGATATTCACGTCGGAGTTTCTGTAGAACAAATGAGCGTTTTCGGCATCAGGTAACGTATGAAGCGATTCCTGACTATGAACGACTCGTTCAATTGCCGCCGCTGATTTTTGATTGAGCAAGTTGAGCTGCAGCAATCTCAAATGCGGAGAGCCGATTTGACAGCCAGATTTGAGCTGACTCCCGTTGAGATGACTGTTTTTGAAATGACTGGCGTTGGACTGGCCAGGTTTAAATTGGGACGAGTTGAGTTGATTGCTGAACTGGTTGAGCTGGTTGAGTTGTTTATTGATGTAGCTGGTGCTGAGATGGTGCAAGTTAGAGTGGCTGGGACAGAGGTCGGTCTCGCAATTGGAGCATGAGGGGAATTTCGGGGAGCCTTCGATGTGGTCGTGGCGATGGCTGAGGAGAGCGCTGTGGAAAGCTACGTTGGCTTGATGTTTTTCGAGTTTTGTACCTAAATATTTAGATTAGTTTGTTATGTAACAATGGATTTTGAGAAGGTACTGCTCAACTAACGCAATCATTTTATTATTTGACTGAACCGATTAATATATATCTTGTTTAAAGATGTCGATTTGTCGTCAAAGGGTAGCGGTAAGATTTTTCAAACAAACGAACTACAAACAAATTTTTCGAACAAAATTTTTCGTACCACATGTTTTAATCAAAATTTTGCCAATCCGCATCTTACGTGTACCCTTTATATGTATAGACAACGGGTAAAATGGGTAAAAATTGCCCCATGTTACCTTCATTATAAGGAGTGATCGCCGAAAAAAGTTTCTAAAGTAGGCCTTGGAGAAATTCACGTATGTCAGAGCATTCAATTCTGTTTCTTTTAAGTGACAGTTTGGATTTAATTTAGAGCCGTGCATAGTTTTTATGGATATGATGACTCGTATTTCTGTTTTTGTCGGTGATGGCCTGCTTTAGAAACATTTTTTGAGGATAACTCTTTACCTCCGTAATGACATCTGTCAAGTTATGTAAAGGTAAAGAATTTGAGGTTTAAATAATCACAATTCAAGAAATATAGTCCATTTCCAATTCTATTAAAAAGACTGGAAACTAGTTTTTAAATTGAAAAGTAGGTATCGATCAACCAATATTAAAATAACCCTTTTTTTCTCTTTAATAATGGCACTGGATAAAACCAAAAGGCCAGACTATTGTAGTAATCCATAATTTCTTTAATTGTTTTATCCACTATGGTTACATGATTACATTATTATTATTATTATGTTTTAACTTATAGCTATCAAAATACCAATATTAACTAATTCTGAGTACATTGTGTCAGTATCTAGGGAATTTAGGATACACTCTAAAATTATATGATTGAGATCAGTAATTTCATCACAAATTAAACATAAATTATTATCTGATAGACCAAATTTTTCCTTGTAGGCAGGATGCATAGCATGATTAGAAGTAATCAAATATCTTGGATAAAAGACCTATTTATTTCGTTTTGGAACCAGGGATACTTTGGAACTTTAGGTTGAATGTTTTCGTATTTCTTTTCTTTCCCTTCTTTTGAATATGCATCTTGCCAAGTTTTAAACCTTGGTAATTTAGATTTAGCAATACAATCTGAATTTGGAGTTTCAATAGTTTTATTACTTCCAGAAACAGTAGCCTTTTTTTACTAAGAAATCAACTTTATCATTGTTAGTAATACCTAAATAAGATTTTATCCACGCCAACGAAATTTCTTTATTTTCTTCCAAACATTGGTAGAATTTCTGAGGCTATATAGTTAGTATGACTTGTAACGTTCCATTTTTCAAAGTATTCTACTGCAGTCATACTATCAGTAAATATAACATACTTAGATTTATTTTCTTGAAGACATACGTTAAAAGCTTCTTTTATAGCTACAAGTTCAGCATTTTATATTGACATTGTAGCCCGAGAAGGCTCAGATAAGGCCATGACAGGCCCCGAACCCTTCTGTGGAGTTGCTAAAGCATTGTGCAAAGCATCCATTGAACAATGGATGCAAAAAGAGTCTCAGGAATGGTGTAACAACTATCCAAGACTGAGACAGGCCAAACAGTTCATCAAGGAACCATCAGCCAAGTTCACGAAAGACCTACTGGATCAGAAGCGTCTTCTTACCGGACACTGTCGCCTTAAGAGGCACATGATTACGTCCTATACCAATGTGGAGGCCTGGCTGGAATGAGGTTTCTAACATTGGGCGAAGAAAAGCCAAATGCATGCAACTACATGCGGGAGCCACTGTCAAAGCTACTAAGTCTAATAAAAAAGACCAGGCTAGATGACATACTCTAAAACAAACGGAGTCCCACAATAGATCTGAGAAGGTCGCGGTGGACAAGGACACATAACGTCTAACTCCCAATCTAATCGAATCTAATCTAATACATGTTTTCAAATGTATTTCATTTTTTTATTAAATCTTCTTATAATGTAGATTTTTGTTTATATATGTTTTCAATAAGGTTGTTAAAGCTGAAAAATGTAAGGACCATATTGGAATTTCATTTTGTTAATGGAGGTCTGGAATCATTTCAATGGTATTTAAAAAGTCTCTACTAGTAGAGATAGTTTTTCTTTGACTAATACTTTCCAGTTAAACACAGAGAAGATAAATTGGATAAGAGGTCTTCTAAAATTGAGAGGAGTATCTGTAGTTTCCGATTCTATTACATTAATTGGAGTGCTTGATGAAGTATTGATGTATAATATTGCACCATAGTCAAAAATTGATCTAATCAACACCGTACATTATATTTGGAAACAGTTTTTGTTAAATTTACAGCATTTTCTGTTCTTTTTACAATATAATTAATATGTTCCTTCCAGTTTAGCTTCTGTATGACACCCAAGAATTTGTGACTACTTTTAGGTTGGCAGTTTCCTAGTGTAACAACGTTTGGAAGTTGAGTTCTTTTCCTTGTGAAGCAGACTACCGCTAATTTGTTTTCTGAAATTGTTAGACCATTATCAAACAACCATTTTTGTATGTCTTCTACACTTAATGGTAGTTGATAAATACTAGAATCAATACTTTTATGCTGAGTATTCAAAACAATATCATCAGAAACTGAAGATTTTTTGTAGGAATATATATGTCGTTTCAAATTTTGTGTATAAATAAGGTATAAAAGTGGAATTAAAACGCTTCCTTGAGGAAGTTTCTCTTCAATATTTATTGTAATCAACAACTTTCGTCTTGTATATAGTTTATAAATATGTAAGGAGATTAAGTGAGGGATGTCATTTTTTGAATCAGTATTTCTAGATTGACATTATAATAAGCTCCTTTAATATCTAAAAACGAAGCACTGATAGAAATTTGTTGGAAAAATCCACCAATTTGTATGTCAGTTGTTATGGTTGCAATACTTTCTTGAGTAGACTTGTTTCTCCTGAAGCCAAATTGTGAGTTTGGAGAAATATTTTGTGTTCCATCCAATGTTCCAGTCTAAGTTTGATTATTTTTTCATACTTTTTTAAAACACAAGATGATAGTGCTATTGGTGTATATGAATCTGCATTAATTGGAATTTTGTTTGGTTTAAGTATGGGTAAAATAATATAATCAGACCAAGATTGTGGAATGGCCAGTTTTTTAGCCCATATTTTGTTTAAGGTATTTAATAGTTGTTGTTTAGTAATCTTAGGAAGGTTACTCAGCATTGTATAATGAATATTGTCTAAACCTGGAGTCGAGTTCTTAGTTTTCGTTAATGCCAAATCTAATTCATTATAAGAGAATGGAATTTTCGGTTGAAGTGGCTAGGGATTTATTTTCCATTTCTAAATCATTAGGAGAGCATGGGACAACGAATGGCGGTGCTAGTTTTAAATGAAATTCTGGTATCCACGCAGCTGTTTCGATGTCTACTGGAGGAATCGTTGAAGAATTTTGATTTTTTAGTGAACGAACTTTTTGCCAAACTTCCTTAATAGGAGAATGTTGGTTCAGAGATAGACAATAAATTTTTCCAACTTTCCATTTTGACTTATTTTATTGTCTTTTTTGCTATGCCATCTAATCTTTTGTATTCTATAATATTTGAGAGTCTAGGATTTGTCTGGAAGGTTATAAAAGCTTTTTTTCTGTTATCTATCACTTGATCACATTTTTGGTTCCATCAGAATTTGTTTTTACGTGAACAGTTATTTTTAATAAATTTGGGAATTGATTTCTCAGCAACCATGTCTATTTTTTGAATAAATTCTTCATAATTATAATATTTCCGTGGAACAATTTTTGTGTTTCTAAATAAAACGAATTCCAGTTAGCCCTCTTCAAATTCCATTTTCTGTTAGTATGAGTAAATTATATTTTTAGGAGAGATTGAAGTAAGAGTGGGAAGGTCATTCGAAACTTTGGTGATCCATCATTTATAAAACTAAGATTACTTTGGTCTAAAGCTTCTATCAACATTTTACCATAAATATGTATCAGTCGATGGACCTCCCCAAGCTGAGAATGTTATGAGAATTTAGATCTCCTGTTATTATACATGGTCTAGGAAATGATTCAAAGAATGAACACCACTCTTGGAATAAAATTTTAGTTTTTGGTGGTATATATAAGGATACAATTATAATTTTAATATTGCTACATTTTAATAAAATTGATTTTTGATTAACATTCGCTAAGTAGTATTTAATGGGAATTTCATCATAAAATATGTTGGATTTAACTAAAATCGCTTTTCATCCTCCAAGACGATCCACACGATCGTCTCTTAAGATATTGTAATTTTTAAATTTGTAGATTATTTGAGGTTTAAAATACGTTTTAAAAATACAAACGATATCAATTTTTTGTTCATTTAGTAGGTACAAGGTTTTCTTTATTTGAAACCGCTTATCTATAATTCCACTGACACAATGTAATATTACAAGTACTAGCCATCGAATTCAAGAGTCTTTCCTATAGAACTTGATAAATTTTGTTTAATTACATTTAAAATAGTAGCTTCTTGAATTTTGAAATTTGTACTTTTAATAATTTCAATAGTAGATAAAACAACTTGTAAAATAATTTGGAACATATCACTTGACAATTTTTCCTCTAGATTTGAAGAATTTAATATAGATTTATATTTAGGAGAACAAAGTATTTCTCCTTGACTTCTTGGAATATTATTATTAGATATAATTTCTTTATGAGCTGAAGAAATAGGGTTAGAGTTGATAATACGAGGTCGTTATTAGTTTTCGGTGAATTTAGAGGTGTGAGGAAAAGTTGAATGAGGGAGAAGATTAGATACGATATTAACTGGTGAAGGAACTGTGCTGGCAACTGAGTTTACAGTAACAAAGGAAGGCTGTGATAAGGATAAAATAACCCTTGACCTTCTAGTATAGATATTAAAAACTAATATATTATGTATGTGATAAAAACTCACATCTTCTATTGTCCTTGTTCCTTCTATAGTTGTGAATAACTGGTAGCCTACCATCGATGCTGGTATACAATGATCCATTGGTAATTGGAAATCTATGCTCGACGGCTTGAAAAACTGGTAGATTTCTTTCGGTATTCTGAATTTCCAAACTTTGAGGCTGACTTCCCAGGCCGAATGGTCGAAATTTTCCAGCTAGGCCGACTAAAATTAAAATAAAAAATATGTATAGTGTTCAACGTGTTCTTTTAATGAACTGTTCTTTTCGTGTATACCTATGTATACAGGATGGTCCTAAGTGATGAGGCGCCCCGGGGGTTACTAACAATAATGCGCGAGTTTCCATTAGAAAATACACCGGAAAAGTTATACAAAAATATCAGTATTAAAAAAAGTCAATTCATTACTATTACACAAAAATAATGCAAAAAATTCATACAAAATAAAAAAAAGGACCAAAAATAATCCTTATAGTAAACAAAAGTAACTTTTTTCTAACGGGAGAAATTCTAAAAACACATATATTTATATTTATTACCAACAACGAACAACTACTAAACTAATTTTGTTTAAAAAACCGAATTGCAAGAATTTACGGTGTTATCCACGTAGTTGTCAAATTATTATGAGAGAGTACGTGAAGGAAATTTTTTATGGTTATAATTTAAAATTGATTTAACGTAAGGCTCTAAAACGCAAAAAAGGACATGTATTTGCATTCTTGGTGTCAATTGTGACTTTAAATTTTGCTCTCAATTAATTTAAAAATGTATATTTCAATTAATTCCCGCCTGAGGACATGTAGAAGATCCCCGTATTTCTGTTTTCAACAATTGCGAGTACTCTCGTGGGTTAAAATATTCCTATATTTGCCAAAATGCAAATGGGCATTTTGTAGAGTCGATTTCGTACGAATTATCTACTTTTATTCGTCAAGGTACTAGAAGGACATTTTTTTATTTTTAAATTGTAAACAGTCGGCTGTAGTGGTGGTATCCCCCACTCGGGCTTACCGGTCTTCCATCTTGCCCAGCGAAAAAGCATAAATTCGATCACATCTGGGAATTACGCCCTCTTGAATTCCGGCAGCCCTCTCTCCTGCAGTGTCGAGTGAAATACTCCGCGAGTGACCGTAATATCGAAAGAATATTGAACAACCCCGTTTATTTTTCTAAAGGTAGGAAACTGCATATTATTTTTTTTATTTACAATTATTTTGGGACACCCGTCCGACAAGTGAAATAATTTTGATTCATGCCCAGCATTTTTCATTTCATCTCTTTGTGGGAAACCGTTGACAATTTTTTTATAAGAAGCACCCAGTATTTTTTATGTAAGTTTCTCTTTTCTTTTATTAATTCATTTAATTATATTTGAATAATTCCGTTTCCCGTCAACAATTAATTATTGAACGAAGACCGACGTTTTATGTAAAATCAATTCACACACCGTCTTGATCGTCTTTTGGGCAAATCTCGAAATAATTTTTACATTAACCATCGCATTCTTGTTCCAAACACCGCGCTGAAAATTATCATTCTCGTTCAATGTAATTGCCAGAGCGTCGATCGGTCTGGTCTAAAATACAGGGACGTTCCGAAAACTTTGATTTCATTTATTTGCTTACATTTGATTACCGTCATATTTAAATAAATTATTTGTTTTTAATAAATTTTCCGTATACAGGGAGTTTCATAATTCCCGGACCGCTTGGCCTCCTGTGCTAGCGAACCGTACCCAGCAAACATTTTGGTGTAATTTGACGTCGATACTACCTAAATTATATATAATAAATTTTGTCGCAAAATTAGATTTAACCATAATTAAGTAAAATTTACGTTGGCTCGACGTGGATTCGACATAAGTGGAGAATAAGACGACGTCGAAATTTGGTTTTATTTACCAAAATAGGTAGAATTACATCTAAATCCAAATTGTAGTAGCCCAGTACGTTTGGTTAGTAATATCTCTCTATGGAAATTTGACGTCAGTATAACGTTAATTCGACGTTGATTTAACTAAGTTTAGGTAGAAACTACCAAAATATTTACAGATGATGTATGCCTCCAAGTGTACGAAAAGAAATTTTATACTTATTTAGTATTTTTATCTATATATAAGTAGAAATATTGTAAGAAGTCATCAACACAACTAAAACATATACCTAAGTCACATGAAAGATTGAAAATAATTAAATGTCGGTGACAAAAATATATGTAATGTAATTGCGGTGAATATACAGTTCACGCTTGTTGAAATTAATGCGAAGAAAATTTTGTCGTGCATGTTAATAGTTCTACTTTAAAAAATTATAATGCCCTTCCAAAATACTCTCTAATTAAAAAAATATAAGAAAAAAATATGATCGTGTAAAAAAATAATAATATTATGAGCTAAAACTATATATGTTACGTTTGTTGTGTATTACTTTAGAAAATCAATAATGTTTCGTTTTTTGGTATTTTCATTCATATGTTCTAGTTATGGTCATTTTAAAAATGTAAAATTTGGAATCGTACTTCAATTACGTTAAGAAAATATGGCGTATTGTGCGAATTCGACCTAAAAGTTATTATGACTAAGGAAATCTACGTATTTTACAAATACCTTTTTATTAAGTTGAATTAACTTCAATTTCACGACATATTAGTTAACTTTACCTATTTAAAGAAATAATAACTTATAGGTTTTATAAAAAATTTACCTATAGGTAAATATAACATATTTAGGTCACGTTGTTCTGCACTTAAGATTTTAGACGTTTCACTTTACGATAAAAATCGGAAGTATAATATGATTTATTATTTTTCGAAATCATTTTATTAATTATTTTTCGCACTCATTTAAAGCTCTATCTACCCCACACGTAAATTAAGATTACGAGTGTAATGGTTTTTTTAAAATGGCCGAAATTCTTAAGAATAATCACGAAGACAGTAACTGAACAACCTAATTGTTAAAATAACCTAAATAATATAAATTTTACAAATAGGTCATATATGACTATTTTTAAATTGGTGGTGTTTAGTCGAATTTACTTTGTGGTAGATTTTTCAGGTAATTGCTACAACAAAGTTAATAAATATTTCTTCAAGATGACTTATAGGTCAACTAAATGAGTATTCGACTGTTTGGTTGAAATTAGGTAGATAAACAGGTAGAATTTTGCTACGATCTCGACCTAATATTACTTTAAAGGAGAGTAAATAAAAGCGGCCAAATAGGTTACTATGGAGGCATAAAATTACGTAGAATTTTTAACCAAATCTACCTAGTTGGATATTCTACTATAAAGACGATTTTTAGTTGCCAAACAGGTAGATATTACCTAAATATGGCACATAATTTTACTATAAAGGAAATTTAACTTTGAAGTAATTGTTGGTTATTTTTTTAGTAGTTTTTCCCTTGCTGATATGGTTAAAGTTACTTTTAAGCAGATTTGTGTAAAAGGTAGATTTCTTGGTATAATTTACGTAAATTTAAATATAAATTAAAACCATTTGGTAAATTTACATTAGAGGTATATTTTTCTAGTCAATTTTACGTAATAATTACCTTAATAAGTAAATTCATCTTTAACAAAGTCGAGTTATAACTAATGTTATAGAAAATGTTTGCTGGGTAATTATTTCTCAATATTTAAATAGTTTTCAATTGTAATAATTTATTTTTCATAAATTTTCCGGATACAGGGATCCATCAATATTTAAATAGTTTTCAATTGTAATAATTTATTTTTCATAAATTTTCCGGACACGGATCCATCAATATTTAAATAGTTTTCAATTGTAATAATTTATTTTTAATAAATTTTCCGACTACAGGATCCATTAATATTTAATTAGTTTTCAAGTGTCATAATTTATTTTTAATAAATTTTCCGAATACAGGGAGCCGATAATATTTAATTAGTTTTCAAGTGTAACAATTTATTTTTAATTACCGTTGTATTTTTTTTGTATATATATATTTTATTACCTATTCCTGTGTTTCTATTACTGCTGGTTCTTAACCGTTCTCTTTCAGGGTACCGTAGGGTACGAGGTGTAAAGGAGATAAAGTGTTTTAGTTTTATTTATTCTAGTATAGTGACTACCTAGCAGTGACCGCCTGGAATTATTTTTACCTCCACTGAGTTTACCTTGAGTGCACTCTGGTGTACTACAGGGTTGCAGAGCAAACTGCGATACCAAAACTGGCGCCTGAGCAACCCCTATTCGGGAATCACCATCATAGCGCCACACAGACTCGTTGATTCACAGTAGGTGAACCAGAAGCCTGTCACAAAATTTAATATATTTTTCTACACCCACATGGATATTAGCTTATCTACGCACAGATTACAAAACGAAAAAGCATGCTATTGCCTTCAACTGAACGATTATATTTCATATCCATTCTAGATAGTGAGAACACTGCTATTTTGATAAATAAATAAAACTATCTGGAGTCAATTTAATTACGAGTATTAAAGCAACAAGAATAAAAGAATAGGTAGTCCTGTGGTTAGCTTTCTTGCCTTCCACACGAAAGACTGGAGATCGATTTTTGGATGGTGAAAAATGAAATGAACTCTTTCCTTTTTTTTTGTTTATTTTATTTTAAAAATTAATAGAACTCATTAATTATTTTAAAATTAGTTATTTTGTCTTAATTACCTAAAATATTTTTTTTGTAAATTTTCGTTAGTGGGTCGTAGAAAAAATATACTGTACATCTCGAGTGGATTGTTCACATCGCACTCAGACGATTGATATAGCCATCATATCCACTCCTGTTGCACAAACTACTATTTTAATGTCTATGTCTGGTAGCAACTATTATTGTAGCTGAAGGTAATTTAGAGAAAAGTACACTATTTATTTAAGGTATGGCAACAGTGTAAAGCAGGAGTCATAGTATTACGACCAGGTTTATTTATATATAGAGTGCTCGCACCTCAGATAAACAAGCTCACAAAAATCATCCCCAATCAATTTAGCAAATGTCTCGCTCTTTCTAATGCGTCATCCGATGCGACACTTCTTTCTGCCTATAAAACACAATTTGTAATAAATTAGGGCTTAATTGTGAATAAATGGAATAGTCTTGGACTTCGGGACTATAGCGCATTTAGTCCTGTGGTTAGGGTGGCCCTGTATGTATACTACAGGGTGTACCAATAAAAACTCCCAGGCCGGATAATTTGGTAAGTAATAAAGATATTTTAATTCTGTAAAAGTCAGTTTACAGAGCACTAAGAGAGCTTCAATTTTAGAAATAAATTGATTTTAAATAGGTCAATATGTAGATGGCGCTGCGCTCAATAATTTTTTTTCGATGGGAGGATCTTTCTTGTGTAGCGCATCTTGTAAAAAATGCATTTTAAAACAGATTTTGTTCTATGAACTAATTCGATATATCTAGCTATTTTTGATATACAGAGTGGGTCACTTAAAACAGTTTTATCCTGTTTTTCAGCATTAATCATTGGAATTTTAGAAAATGCAAAAACAAGTCGATTTATATTCAAAATTAAAAACATTTTTACAATACAGACATCTGTGATGTGTCAACCCCCTCCCTTGCACTTCTTCGCACCTTAATTTTAAATAGGTAATGTACCATTTATGGCACATCATTGAAAAGGTAATTTAATGGGGAATTCAAAAATATTTATGTACATTGCGTTACTTAAATTTTATCGCCCTCTAGCAGGATAAAAAACTACCACTACAATGTGTAGTACATCATTAAATGGATAATTTTATGGGGAATTTAGAAATATGACTCTTTGTTGCGATACTTTTAATTGTACCGCCCTCTATCGGGATAAAAAACTACGTATTTTAAAGTGTGACACCTTATTTGAAAGCAAATTTAATTACTAATTCAATGTACCACATGCCATTAATATAAATATCCTCCATATTGCACTTGCAATAGTTTGAAAATTAGTCATGCATTATTTTAAACATTATTGCTAACTTTATTTTGTTGCAAGTGCAATATGGAAATGTTTATACTAATGTTAAGGTGCATTGAATCAGTAATTAAATAAGCTTTCAAATGAAGTGTCACACTTTATAATAAGTAACAGATTTTTTTATCCCGATAGAGGGCGCTAAAATTAAAAGTATCTCAATAAATTGTCATATTTCTGACTTCCCCATAAAATTACCTTATAAATGATATATATGGTACATTCCTTATGTAAAATTAAGGGGTTGGAGAAGTGGAAGGGAGGGGGTTGACTATAGTTGACTAATGTCTGTATTGTAAAAATGTGTTTAATTTGGAATAAAAATCGACATGTTTTAGCATTTTCTAAAAATCCAATGATTAATGCCGAAAAACAGGATGAAACTATTTTGAATGACCCACTCTGTATATTAAAAATGGCTAGATTTATTGAATTAGTTCATAGAACAAAATTTGCTTAAAAATGAATGTTTTATCAGATGCGCTACATATAAACGATCCACCCATCGAAAAAAAATTATTGAGCGCAGCGCCATCTACATATTGACCTATTTAAAATTAATTTATTTCTACAACTGAAGCTCTCTTAGCGTTCTATAAACTGGCTTTTACAGAATTAAAATATCTCTATTACTTACCAAAATATCCGGTCTGGGAGTTTTTATTGGTACACCCATACAGTGAGTAGATAAAGTATGGAATAATTCATAATTTCGCAAATTAAAAGTCTTCTTAGGTCGCTTTCAATACTTTACCTACTTACTGCATAGATGTTCTTACCATGTGGTAATTTTTCTTCTACATTCGAACTGCACCTGTACACGCTGGAAACCCACTTGCAAAACCTTGAATCCACTATTCCCAATCCTACGGGTATGAGAATGTCCTGGACTAGTCCTAACCATAAAGCTATTCCTGTTACTGGCCAGGGATGAATTAAATCTGGATAGATGCATAAAACCTGAAAAAAAGGAATATTTAATAATATTTTTCAAGCAAATCAAAAATATAGGGAAGGTTTGCCACAGAGGAAAACCATTTTTTTTTTCAAGCTATACATAAATTTCCCGTAACGTTATCAACATTGAGTACGGTCCATCTAATCCGATGATACTCAAAGTAGTCTATATCGACCTCAGAGGTCGACGATGACCTATAAGGAATCCATGTGAGCGAAAAAAAGAATTATGTGAGGTGTAAACAGAGCTGGGACGAATCCTCAAAAAATGGATTCGAATCACGAATCCGAATCACGAGATGTGATTCGAATCCTTTTTCAAAAAAAAAAAAAGGATTCGAATCAAGTGATTCGAATCCTTTTTTTCGGATCACGGATACGAATCACTGTCAGTGTTATACTGTGGTATTAATTATATTTGCTTTCGAATCTAATATTGTTTTATACCTCGGTCCTAAAATATTTAACGCATTTCCGGTGGAATTTAAAAACCTAAATTCGATAGGTCTTTATAGATCTAAATTGCAACAATGGATATTAACTAAACAAGGACAAATATTTTAAGATTTTATTAATTTAAATATAACTAAAATCTAAAATCTTTTAGTTAAAAAGAACTTTACTTATTTGCAATTATCCAATTATTTATGTATATGATAATTATTTATAAAATATTCAATGCTGTAGGTAATTTGTATCTACAGGGTTATTCATAACTATTGGGACATAGGCTAAGAGCAGGTTGTTTGTACAAAAATATGATGACAGGGCTAAATATACCTTAATAAAATATTGCTGTGGAATAAGATACAGTGCGTTAAAGTTGAATTTTTTTTTTCGTTTTTTTTTTTAAATGTCACTGTATATTAATGAATTGTTATCAAAATCGGCACAGAGGCATATCTTTGGACAGGGGACAATATTTTATGTATAATTTCTCATTTTGTTACGGGGGGCGCCACTTGAATGATTACTAATGATGAAATTAAGTGGTAGCTTTTTCTGAAAAAAATTTTTAGTATTTTTGATTAGAAAATATGATGTAAACGTCATGTCTACGTAATATTGGTACTCTTATTTAAACACGATAATTTTACCCGTTTTCGAGAAAAACGCAATTGAGCAGCTCACAAGTATCAAATGGGGAGTTAAAACAATATTTCACATATGAAAAGTGTGCTTTGAAGTGTCAGATAATTGTGTTTGGTACATGTAATTTCTTGACAGTGAATTATTTTTGCTGTTTGATTATAGTCTATTATTATTACTATTATTATTATTTATCACCCTGTATCTTATTCCACAACAATATTTTATTAAGGTATATTTGTCCTTAGATTATGTCCCAATAGTTATGAATCACCCTGTATAATAAATAAAAAAAACAAGTATTATAAATTAAAAATTTAAAAAAACAGACTTCAAAAATATGCAGATGCCGTCATCATATCTTAACCAAATTTATATGGAACCACCCCTGAGGTACCCCGTTACTAACAAAAAAAGAATCATGTGAATCCGACCAGGTGGTAAAGCATTATCGCTAAACATACATAAAAAATGAAGAGTTTGAGGATTTTGTCATGGACCCAATTATTAAATTTTGACCAAACTTATATGGGACCACCCCTGAAGTATCCCCTTTCTAACAAAAAAAGAATCATTGAAATCGGACACAGTGTTAAAGAATTATCGCTGAACATACATAAAAAAAAATATATCGCGACGAATTAAGAACCTCCTCCTTTTTTGATTTGTTAATTCTGTAATCGTGTACAACGCCAAACACATCGGTTTTCTATTCAGTCTCAGTCTGTTTTAGTCGGCGTAGTTTGGTCTCTAAAAGGATCCGAGTCTGATATTGATGATTCGAATACGAATCCTTTAGGATTTTCTCTGCGAATCCGGATCATGGATCCTTTTTTTCTAAAGTATTCGAATCCCGCTCTCGGATCCTCAAAAAGGATTCGAATCTTATGTGATTCGAATCCTCCCCAGCTCTGGGTGTAAACGAGGGTCCATGATAGTCAATCTCATTTAAACAGGTCGCGACTTTAATTTTGACTTAGCATTAATGGCATAACTAGTGGTGCCGCAAGACGAGAGATTCTCGTCTCGTCTTCTCTCATCTCACAAGACAAGAGAGACATTTCTCTCGAAAAAAGATTCGAGACGGGATGAGAGTGTTTTTGAATTTTTATAAAATTTTATTCTTGATTATGGATTTCGAAGTGATGCAGAACTTTGGACGATTTTTTTTTTGTGAAAAGTAAGATTAACTTTTTTTTATTTAAATAAAACTTTCTGGGACACAATTATTGTGTCAGATTTTATTGTAGCTACAACTTTTTATGTAACCTACAGCAATTTTTTATATTGCGAATTATTCCAGACAAGAGTCAAGCAAGTCATTATTATACAACTTTAAAGGCTAAATAAAACATCTGTTAAATTAACGTTTTAATAAATCTTTAAAAAATCAATTTTACAGTTTATTTTTTAGAAGGTAGGTAAAATTAAAAAACTAACAAAATTGAAATGTAATTTTTTATTGAAATGTAATTTCCCATAAAATTACTTTTTCAAAAATGTGCCACTATTTGTACTTTCCTTATCTAAATTTTAGGGGTTGTTCACCCCATACTCGAGGGTCGAAGCGTCGATGCTGAAATTAGGAAAAAAATTTGTGCTGCTCCAAACAAAAATCGACCTGTCCATTTCTGCTTCTAGGTGCATAATTTTCACCTTCAAGAGGGCGCTAATATCGGAATTGGCATTGACAATATTGGCATTACTGAATTTCTTATAAAATAACCTTTTCAAAAATGTGTCACACTTAGTACTTTCCCTATCTAAATTCTAGGGGTTGTTCACTATATTGCTCAAGAAATTGAAATGTCAATAACGCAATTAGGAAAAAATATGTCGCCCTCCAAACAAAAATCGACGTGTACGACATTTCTTCTTTAAATCTGAGGGAACCAAGAAAAGGGACTGGATACTTTTCATTGGACCACACTATACAGTGTGTCCGTAAAGTATGGAACAAATTCATTCTTAGCTAAACAGACCATTTTAAGAAATAATCCTGAAACACGTCGATTTTTGCTTTTAATTTACCGTATTTTAAAATAATAATCTAATATACAGGGTGAATTACTTTCGAGTAATGATGTCACCGTCATTTTTTTTAAATGGAACACCCCCATTTTGTCTCAATTTTCGGATTACTCTAGCTGAGCTGATTCCAAAAATGTATCACATGTTGATTCCAATTGGTACAGGGTGGGCAAAAATACAATAGTTTTGTGTGTGCTCATAAAGTAACGCGTAACATTCTTTATTAGTTAAATTAACAATATTATCAAAAATACTTATTGTCTAGCGGACAGAATATGATGAAATATATGACTTTATAAATGTTCGAACTGCAGCCCTTGCTGTATTTGACAGTAACCCAAACGATGTACAAATTCTTGTTGAACCTTGTTTATTGTGTCTTGAGAAATATTGTTTATTGTTGTTCGAATTCTCTCTTTTAATTCTTGAATATTTGCTGGTTTCGTTTGATACATAACATTCTTTAGATGGCCCCACATAAAATAATCCAAAGGATTGAAATCTGGTGACCTCGCTGGCCATTCGATAAGTCCACGTCTACTACCAATCCACCTGTTCGGAAAAATTTCTTCCAGGTACCTTCTAACATCCACAACATAATGTGGAGGTGCACCATCCTGTTGAAACCATAAACTTTCATCACAACCTCCAGGATTACGTCTGCTAGAAAACAAATTACGTAAAGTAGGTACGAGATACCCCCGTAAAAAGTCAAGGTACGTTGCCCCGTTTAAATTACCTTCGATACAGTAGGGTCCGATGATTCGATTTCTTACAATTCCAGCCCATACATTTACCTTTTGCGGGTATTGTGTATGATGCTCACGCATCCAGTGGGGGTTTTCTTTTGCCCAGTATCTACAATTCTGACGGTTAACCTAGCCATTTAACGTGAAAGTGGCCTCATCAGAAAAAATAATGTTTTGTATCAAGAGAGGGTCTCGGTGACATTTATCCATCATTTTTTCGCAAAATTGGATTCTTCTATCGGGATCATCTTCGTTTAATTCCTGCAAAAGTTTGATTTTATAAGTATGCCATTTTTCAAGTTTTAATAGTTTGTGTTCCGTTGTTTTGCTAACACCGATATCGCGACTAACTTTACGCACAGAATTGTGCGCGTCTTCTTCAAAACTAAGTAAAACATCTAATGCTGTATCAGCATTTGCAGAGGGACGACCTGATTTGCGTACGTTTTCAACCATAGATAAATTAATATTAAAAGATAAACCGTTTAAATGCACGGCACTGGTAACAAGTGGTAGTTCCCAGCCATACTACTTGGAGCCATCGTCGCAAATAAGATGACAGCGATGTTGTCAGTTTCCATAAACTTTCATGAGATTAGAGTTAATTCAAACGCATAAGCTGCACCTTATTTTGTTTTTGTCGTGCTCGATACCATCCATACAATGGCCATACTATTGCTGAGATATTTTAAAGAGAGGTTTGGCAACTGTGTTGATAACCTCGTTAAAAATAAAGAACGGAATGGCGGAAGACGAAATAGTCGAAAAATGCACAAAAACCGTCATAAAATAAAAGTTATTATGATGTTGTGGATATAATTATCCTTCGATAGGTAAGTTATTATTAGGTTAAGAAGATTGATAAGTGCTGATTTGATGAAATTAGTAAGTATTAACAATATAATTTAATAAGGTGTTAGATTTGTTTAAGGACTTTGTTTATCATTGCTTTCTTATAGCCTTAACGAAGTATAATTTCATTTTGGATCGATTTTCAATTCTTTTTTAATATACCTATTTGTAACAAAACATGTCTGGCCCTGGTAAAATTAAGTAATCTTTTTCAGCCCCTTAATTTAAATAAGTATTATTCTAATATTCAGCAGGCTGGTTATTCAAATAAAACCTTTTTTC